ACTATAAATAATGCTTATATGAATTATGCCATAAATGAAAAAAAAATGCATTTATCATCAACTTCCCAGATCTGACTCGTCACAGTTTAAAATAAACAATACAGCTTAATGTAAGCAATTTATTAAGTTTTTCGAAAATATTGCTATATTTCAGTTTTACTTTTTTTTTATAAACAAATATAAAAATCCTAGCTCAGTAATACAATTTTGAATTAGCTAGCTTATTTCAATTAAAAATTAAAAATAGCCTCATTATTTTTTTACGCATGAAAGAAAGTAAATGTGGTAACTCTTTAATATGCAACACTTTAAATTTTAATGCCATATTGTACACGCATTCCTTTCCAAAACATTTTCGTGTTTCATTAATTTTTCATTGCGGAACAGTAAATAAGAAATGCAGAAAACACGATCAATGTGATACCAAAACCAAGCATATGAATTTTTCTTTTAATATTATATTTATTTCTACAACTGTATAACAATAAATAATAAAGGAATGAAATTGGATATGAAATCAAAAGTTATTATTTTGTGGAAAGAAAGTAATATCGCTCAAACTAAATATCATTTTCATTATGTTTATTCGTATCTGTCAACTATCAAAGGACAAAAACAAAAATAGTTCAAACGTATGATTACATAAATGTTTTCCTTACGATTTTAAACATTTATTTTGAGCAAAAAAAATTTATAAATTAATACATAAATGTTTTTAATTGATCGAACATATTTATATGTGCAAATTTTTGTTTTATATTTTTTCAATTAAATGTGCGTATTTTAAATTTTTCATTCAAGTTAGAAAGCATGATAAACAGATCTTAATTTCATAAAAAAGTATTTAATAAATGCTCCGCTAAAATATTTAGAGCCGATACTAAAGTAAAAATATCAAATTTTTGCTTTATTTTTAAGAAAAAAAACTTGTTCTTTATTTTTTAAAATCAGGTAACTATTAAACTTCTTTTTTCCAATGTAATTAAAGTAAACACTTCACATATAAAAATTAAATTCCTTTATCTAAGTTGTTAAAAGCTGCACAACTTAAAAACTTCCTCTTTCTCTCACTTTATTTTTTAAAAATATTCATAGCGGGATTCTCTTCTTTGTAATAAATAGTAAAAATTTTGATAAAATTCACAAATTTATTAACTTTAATGGAGCAATGCAGTAACTTACATTTAGAATTGCATCTCTTGAAAACAAGCAAAATAATATTTTAACACATAAAAGGGATGCATGGTGCGCGAAATCGAAAACGAAGCATCCTGAGTAACATTCTAATGATCGGATTTGCAAGTATCTCAATCTTAATGGCTGATCTCAAATACACTAACTGATAAGTGCAGATTGTTCCGTCATCAATAAACAGTTAGTTTTAATAATTGTTTTAAATCGTCTGCCGATATAATAACTGCAACTCCAGCTGGTTGCTAGGCAACCAAATGACTTTTTCTTATTATTAATGTTTTTGTTTATCGTTCGTCTCTGTATGTCTGTGGAAATAAAAGAATGTAAAAGCTAACACAGATCAAATTTTTTAAGTTACGAAATCAGTCATTAAACCGCACTTTCTCTCGATAAACCTCCCCTTTATAGAATTCGAATTTTTAAATCTCAAATTATGGACCCAATAGTTTGGTCAGGTGAGTAGCCCAGATTTTGGATCCCGAAATGTTAGTTTAACTTTTTGCTCATTTTGAAATATCTCGAGAACTTTCTAAGTGAATCAAAGATTGTTTGCACACAATCAAAAAATATATTTATCCAAAGAATAATTCCACGCGAAAAATAATTTTTAATCATTATTTATTATTTTTTTTAACATTTTATTTAATAATGGTTAAACAAATTTCGAATAGTAAAGTATACTATTTTTTAAAAAATTTTAAAGATTGTAATTTTTAAATAGAAAAATACAAACTTTAAGCTCTATCGGTCGAATATTTTCCAAATCATCAAATTTTAAAGAAGTTGTATAGTTAAAATTCGATTTTTTGAGAACCATTCGACCAATTTTGTTCAAATTTTCTATTTTGCTCTTAATTACATCCTTTAAATTGATGTAAAATTGGTTCACCTTACATCATCTCAAACTTTTTTTGACCATTATTATATAGAATATTAAAATTTTATAGTATTAAAATATTATAATATCAATATATAATAATAAAATATTATTGTGCATGGAATTATCTTTGAACGAATGCACCTTTTAATTGTGTGCAAAAATGCTTTGATTCCTTTAAAAAGCACTCGAGTTATGTATAAATACGTGCTGAAAGTAAAATTAACATTAAGTTATCCAAGCTATTCAGACTACATATTAAAGATAGAAGCTGCTCCTCATATTTTGACCGTTAAGAGCCCGAATCCGTAAAAAAGTATGTTTATGTTCTATATTATATGTTATATATGTGCTATATTATATGTTATATAGTTATATATATAGTTATGTGCTATATTATATGTTTCTATATTAATTTTAAGATATTTAAATCGTTTTATTATATTTATATTTTATGTAATATTTCTTATTATATTTTTATCACTATAAATTTTATTATTTTATTATTTTTATAAATAAAATCACCAATAAAAGAATTTTTCCAAGGAAATTTTCAATAATTACGTGCTTAAATAAAGCTTTATGTGAAAGTATAAGTTTTTTTATGTTTCTGGATAAATATTGTATTCCTTACATCCAAATATCTAAGAATTTTCGAAAAAAAAACGAATTGTAAAGATAGAGGCCTACTTATTTCCATGCAAAAACAAACACAGAAATACAATATTTTTCTTCAAAACAGTCAGAGATTACTTTACTTATCTTTTCAGAAAAAAAAAAAGATTGCTTAGCTTTAATATCTCTATGTTAATACTTAGCTAAAGGTATATTAAAAACTGTATCTGAAGTTATACGTTTATTTTTATCACCGAATGTAAATGATACGGACAAATATTTGCCTGAAAATATGGTATTTTTATAAGAAAGTCAAGAAAAATCTGTATTTTCTTAAGTTTGTCTTTAAAATATATTTTTTAGGTCTCGAATTCTCTTTATTGAACTATAGCGTTAAAATATTTTTTTATCAACTAGAGTTTCTGAGTATTAAATATATTTTAATAGTTAAATAGTTCGTAGTATCGCGCAAAAAATACTAATATTTTCCCTTATTATAATTAAAATTAAAACATAAAATTAAAACCTGACACAGCCATTAAAACTAAAACATAAAAATATAGTTATGAACAGTAATGTTCAAAAGCCTTAAAGTTATTTTTTTAGTTACTAAAATTTTTGAATATTAAACGTATAATCAGAATAGTTCAGAGAAAGCATAAAGAAATATTAACATTTGATCTTATGAAAGGTGATTACATAATTAATAAAAAATGATTTGCTCTTTTAAATTTTCTTGATATTAGAACGTAAAAATACAAACATGAATATTAGTGAAATTTAAAGTAATATCAATTTTCATTTTTTTAATTCAAGAAATTATGAAAATAGCATTCCTTAAATTCGTCGTTATTCATTACAATTCATTACTTAAAAAATATTTATACTAGAAATTTTAAACTTAAAATGTTTTTCAAAAAAGTAGCGAAAAGCTAGGGATATATTAAATATATTAAGCTTAAAATGGAGCAAACTGATTTCTAAAATTTGAGGGAAGTCAACAAAATCTTTTAATCCCAGCATCTTCAACGAAAACGAATTTTTTTTTAAATTGAAGTATTTTTCGGTTTACGCCAACGCTTCAAAAATTTAGAAAAAATTGTCCCTAATTTATAAAACGCCTCTCATATCAAAGAAAATTGGTGAAGAAGTTAAAATCAAAACCGCATTTTCCCAACATATACCAGCAATGTTCTTTATTAAGTAGGGGAGAGGGGGGCACATGTGATCATGGTATGTTTTACCAATATGATTTGAAATAAAAAATCTCGAAAAATTTTCAATTGATGGCAGAACTAGTCCTACCTCTCTGCAAAACTTTCAGAGCAATGAGACATTTTGTTGTTCTATTCTGACAATTTCTTTGTATCAGCTGGTGTTGTATATATTATAATCACTTGCTTCTTCAAGTGAAAGCATAGTATAAATCAACTAATAAACTAAAATTACCTATTGCAGACCATTATATGAACATTCAGGTAAGTTTATGACAATTATTCTTTTTTTTTTACTCAATTAAAAATTCTTTATTTTTCAAGTTAGGTTTAAGAAGGATGATGGGGCACTTGTGAACAAAACATCTGGAGCAGATGTGAACAGTATATTAATTGCATATATTAACTGATACACCTGAGGAAGATAGAATTGCTAAAGCTGCAAATAGAAAGATAGAAAAAATGAACAAAAAGCATGAAAAAGTATTAGAGAAGAAAGAAAAAGGCCCATTACAACTCCCGTGGAACATGAACTTGAGAAAAACCCAACAACGGAAAAATTATTGTACAGCTGAAAAATTATTTTCTTATTGACAGTACTGTTGTAGAATTTAAATTCACATAGTAAGCTACAACCCCTTCAGTATAATGCGTATCTATATCTGTTAAATTAAAGATTTTTTTTCCTTGAAATATGATGATTGCTTTGTGTTTTTAATTTTGTTCATATGTGCCCCAGGCATGTTCATATGTGCCCCCAATAGGGGCACATGTGAACAATTGAAGTAATTTTTCTAAAATATCATGAAGTAACGAAATATTTTATTGAAAAATCTCAAAAAATTCCATAAGACAAAGAAAAGACCATTTAAACGTATGGACTTCTTTACTATGAAAAATTTATGATATTTTTTGAAAAATGAAGAAATGAAAAAATTTGCTCACATGTGCCCCCCTCTCCCCTACATATTAAACACGATTATTAGATAAGAGAATAAATGGCTACATTGGCTTTGTACTTTCGGGAAATTTACATTTACCTTTATAGGATGTTTTACTTCAGAGATCTTCATTATTTGTAACTAAATTTAAATACATACCCCATAATTGCTCCGTATTCCATTTGTTGCGGTACAGCATATCTGCGGAAACGTTTAACCGTTATTGCCTTTCATGAATGCTTTCCAAAGTGATTCCAAATGCAACTATATAATTCATTACCGTAAAATGGAAATAAAACAAAAAGATTTAAAACTATTAATAACTTTCTGTTTGATACTTTCATTAAATACTTTAACACTTATGCAAAAATAACGGAGAAACAACAGAAACATTTTGCTATCTCCGAACAATAACAGTAGATGACTTCACTTATATAGTGCGAATGAAAACAGTTTTATTCCCTTCGCACCGCCGAGTCTAGAGTGTTTTAGTTTTTATCTGTAACAGTGGGGACCGAAAACTGTCTCTCCAATCATTACAGATACACTTAGGAAATCAATATCCCATTTTTTTTTTTTTTTTACTAAGCATTAAAAGAAAGAAATCACCTAATTTCGATGATAGTTTGAACTACTACATATCTGTTCGCAGAAAACCTATCATCGAAATTGGTTTATCGACTTATTAGATACTTTGTTTTAAACGAGACAGATAATGATTCTGAAAGTCTAGTAATTTAAATTTTTAACATTAAAATGTCTTTTAAGCATAATATATTTAAGTACTAAAAAATAACCTGACTTGTTTAAACAACATTAATGTATAATTACTGCTGAATAACGATATATCATTACAGAAAATACGTTTTTATTCGAAGTTTAAGCCCGGTGGATGAGTGGTAGCTCTCTCGTGCCACAGGTCCTGGGTTCGATCCTCGGACCGGGCAAGGTCGACTCAGCCTTTTATCCCTTCAGTGGTTCGATAAAATGAGTACCGGGCTGACCATCTAACCGGAAAATCTGCTCCTGCACCCCGGAGGCCAAGGTCAAGAAAACTGAGATGGGGACAGTAGGCCTTGGCTCGCTATGGGCTGTAGCGCCTCTGATTTTAATTCTTCAAAGTTTAAACCACATCGATGCTTAATTATTTAAAATCGCTAAAAACTAAATTTGTAAGGATATGAAAATAAGCTACTACTTCGAAACATAACGATAATATAAGTTTAAATAGTTCTAATATCTATGAATATTACGTAGCTATATAATTCAGAATTCTCTAAGAATCACAATTATCATTACAGAAAATAAGGATTTATCATAGAAAATAAAAGTATTATAAATAGTACTCCAAATGTTTGCTGATTATATAGAATTATTAAATAGTCAAAATATATTTGAAAATCACGAAATCTTATTATAAACAGTAATAATTCACTTAAGGTGTAGATTTCTTTGATTACTGACTGTTGTATATATTTTATGAAATCTATAAAAATTTAGAAATTTTTAACCTTATTACAGAAAAAAAGATATCTAAAGTTTGATTACAGTTAACAGTTTAACAGTAATGCAAGCAACAACAACAACAAAAAAAACACAAAAAAAAAAAAAAAAAAAAAAAAAAAAAAAAAAAAAAAAAACAGAATATAAAAAAAGAGCAAGCATTAACAAATAAAAAAAAATAATTGTCCAGTTTCAAAACTCATTAAGTGCTTTCATAATATTTTCCTTCTTTTTTTACTTTAAATTAAAATAAATTTTTACGTAGACTGAATATAGATTCTTTTAGAAACAGAAAATAATTTGTGCTCGTTTCCATGTTCCTTAACAGATTGTAAAAATAACTTTTTAATTCATAAATAAATAAAAAAAATCTAAAAATAGCATTCAATGATTTACTCATACTTAAGATAGCTTAATTTTTTTCTTCTTTTTTTTATTTTTTATTTTTTAAGGAAAGGTTTCAAATTCCTACTTTGGTTCAAATATTTCTTGCAACTCTATCAATTTGTTGGTTGTTGAGGGAAGAAAAATATTTGTCAAGAAACAGCCATAAGCGTCATGAAAAACATTTCCATAGCAGTGGCGGAGAAAATAACATCCCCGCTGCCAAGTGAGTTTAAAAGGCTTTTACTATTAGCCAAGGAATAAGTTGAAAAATTAAAACATTCACGAGAGCATAAATATTATATCTACGTCATTATTTAATAACTAAACGCAATTTAACATTTAGTGCTTTTAGTGGGATATTTTAGAGATCGTTTTTTTTTTCTTCTTTTGGATTACATAAAAAGGGTAAAGGTTATTGTTACAAAAGTTATAATATGATACAGGGCCCGCGCTAAGCATTCGTCACCTCGCCAAATGCAAAATTCGCCAAATTCAGCGAAACAATTTGCGTTTTGGCGAAAGTATTAGCAAACGATTTTTTTCTACCTGAAAGAAAAATATAGATTTCCACGATCTCGAAAATTACGTCAATATGAAATTTTCTGAACATATCTTATATTTTTTTCGATTACAGTAAGTTCCGTTATATATACGTCGCATTACAAATTAGAATTATATTAAGTTCAGATAATATAAGCAGCGAGAAAGATTCCCCCCCCCCTCGTAATATATAGATAGGCACGTTTGGTGCAAGATCACGCGATATCGCGAGACAAAACTCTTTTTTTTTTTTTTTTTTTTTTTNTTTTTTTTTTTTTTTTTTTTTTTTTTTTTTTTCTTTCCCTACAGCTAATGTCAACAAAGCTGATAAAGTTGTATCTTGATGCATATTATCATCCACCTAATTTCGAACAAAACAAATTTTCTCGTGATAAATAACATATTATTTATTAAAATAAACTTAATGTAAATTTTAAAAACTTAAATGTTTGTTAATAAGACAAATTAATTTTGATTTTATCTTTATAGATTACCAACTTTCAATGATACTATAACCACCTGCACTCGGAATGCAATGAACGTGTTAATCTTCATCCGAATTTCGATAAAAAAATCTTTGCTTGTAAAAAAAAAAACTTATAAATCATAATTAAATAAATCAAATAATTTATTTTCGATCTTTTTCCGAATGATTACAATCACGACAGTAGAGTCATGGTGGCTATAAAGTCCCATAGCCATCAGGCTAACCGTGGGAGGTTTTCGCTGTTTTCCTCTCCTTGTAACGCAAAAGAGGGTTAGTTCCATCTAAATGTTTTTCACGAAGGCAGAATTTCTCTCAATTCTTGATCCTGGAGTTGCCTTGTTTTCTGGGTTGTGTTCAAAATTACTAAGCTATGGAGTTAAACATTGGTAGTCGTAAACTCAAAATTGGGTCGGCTGTTCAACGACGGTTTTAAAATAAAATAAGATAAAATCGTGACGGTAAAGAAATAAGCGAGGTAGTAAGAACTCTTTTATTAAAAAATAAGACTCTAAGAATGCGTTTTATTTAAAATTAAATATATATATATTCAAATATTTAAAAAATAGTCAGAATCTAAAAACAAAACATAAAATTTTGCTTCAGATTTATCCTTATATTATGCTCTAGTCTAATAAGTTATCAAAATTTAGCCTCATACAATTCTTATTTTTTTCCTCTCAAAGATGATAAAGCATCCTAATTTTTCATCCTATTTACCATTCATTGTTCATTTACTCCTTTTCAACTGTTAAATGATTCTTGATTTGAATTTGCATTTTATAAAATGGTTTAATTTATAGTCAATTTGTATTTTGACTTGAAGTTTCCTATGGGAAAAAATTAATCATAATTTTTTTTTTGCTAAGACTTTTGAAATTTGGCTAATACTTTTGATATTTGGCTAGTTTTCTAGCTAATAATTTGAAGTTTTTAGAGCGGACTTACGATATGTTAAATAAATTGTTTAACATAGGTTAGTTTAACTTTGAAATAGATTTAAATTACTATAATATAGATATTTTAACTATATTTTTTATTTTTAAAAGAGATATCTATGAAAAAACAAAAAATTGAATATTGTTAAAAATAAGTTTGCGTACAAAAGTTTCAAATCGAGATACATTATGAAAAAATATACAGGAGCTCTTATCACCATTGCGTAGTATTTCTTTATTTTAATATTGAGATTAACTAACCAAACCTTCAATAAAAAAAGCAGTTTCCAAAAAAGGGCTTAATAAATGCTAACAAAGGTTTTTTCAAAAGCACGATGCTAATTTTGGGTTAAGAACACCTTGATGTTAGACTATAAGATTTCTTTACAATAAGTTTTTTTTGTGCAAAATTTTATATTTATGCAGTTTTATTAACACGTGAAAAAATGAACTGAATTCCTGTTATAAAATCTGCTCATAATTAAACCTTTCTTTTGGAGAGAGTTTCATTACTGGCGATAAATTTTAACAGTCTCACTTAATTACTCACTGAGAAAAAAAGTATGGTTTAAACAACCAGAATATGGTAAAATTTACCACCCACGTTTCTGGCTCTATGAGAACTCCAAACAGCTCCGTAATTTTTATCGAAGTGCTTTGACAATAATTTTTTGAAATCAATAATAAAATATGGTTTTGTAATGCATAACAATAATGCGTAATAATATATGTGTAAAAATTTAGTAATTTTATCATGATACCTTAGAGTACAGCATAAAAACTGTTTATTTGGTTGAATTTACTAATTCAGTTCTGTATTTCTTACTAATTATATATAAGAAGCCAGAGATTCCGGTTAACCGTTCTAAATGAAGAGAAAAATTACCAAAAAAAGAAGATTTAAGTACCGTAGATTATGGTTTTATAAACAATAATTATTATTATCTTACCAGAAATATCATTGAATGGCAATTTCATCAGGATTTTTTATAATCATGTTTTATAATGATGCTCAATTGTAAAAATCAGAAGTTGCATATTTATAGTAACTCGCAAATGTAAGAATGCAAGTTTTAGATTATATTAACTATATATGAAATATATATTTAATATAAATTAATTATTAATAATATGTTAAATAAATAGTTATACCTATAAAATGCAGAAGTATAATGTGTCTCTTAAATTTACAGGTTAAGAAAATTGTTTTTGTTTTTGAATTCGAAGGTATTTAGAGTGCGTTGCTGGATTAGATTTTTTACTCATTAATTAATTAAATTAATTTACTGAATAAATAAATATTATTTTTCTCTTTTTATTAACTCAAAATTCTTTAAAAAAAGCGAAAAAAAGAGATGAATGTGATAATATGAGAAAAAAATAATGCACCTGTCAAGCAATGGTTGTCATACTTTATCTTAAGAGCAATTGTTATTGCATACAC